CTACTCTCAGATCCTTTGAAATCTTTGTATGTCCTATAGAACTCATTCACTACCTCAAAGGCTATGATTTAAGTTCGCATAGAAGTGATCAACAAATGATGGTGGCTCAATGCATTTGCTACTCGGATCTTGTTTCCCGCCTTGTGCTTAAATACAAACCAGAATGACGCCAAGAACATCACTCAGAATGTGGGTCGGCCCTTCAATTTGTTCTTACAGTTGAAGAACTTCAAAGCCTCATGATATGTGAATAAGGTGAAATCGCTCATCGGTAGATAGTGACTCCAATGATTAAGAGCTCACACGATCGCATGGAACTTTGTCGTATGTCGAATATTTCCTACATGACTCATTCAACTTCTCACTAAAGAATGATATGTGGAGGCCTTCCAAGGTCAGTACTGCTCCGATCCCCACATTCAAGGCGTCACACTCCACCTCAAACAGATGATTGAAGTCCGGTAATGCCAACTTTGGTGCACGAATCACCTTCACCCTTTTCGAAGGTTAGGTGATAGTGTTGAAGCTTCTGATGAATCGTCAATGGAAAGATGTCAACCCCAAGAACTGTCTCAACTCGATAAAAAATTGAGGTGCTGCCCAACTCATAATGGCCTCAATCTTTGTGGGATCCATCTGAATGTTTGCACTAAACACAATATAGCCCAAAAAGCATATATGTGCAGTCAGAAAGTGACACTTCTTTAGTTGGGTGTATAGTTGCTTTGACCGTGAAAGCTTGAAGACCCTCCTTAGGTGTTATAAATGAACACTTGATTTATCAATCTCATGAACGTGTTGAACACATTAGACAATCTGAAGGGCATGTTTGTCCACTTGTATAATCCATCCTGGGTTTTGAAAGTAGGCTTCCACTCGTCCCCTGGCCTCATCTGGATTCGGTGATATTCATTGTGTAAGTCGATCTTGGAAAAAACAATGGCTCCATGAAACTGACCTAAGAGATCTCCAGATAAGGAATGGGAAACTGTATTTGACAGTAACCATGTTGATTGCCTAACTATCAATGCAAATCCTCAACGATCTGTATTTCTTGGGTACCATCAAGGCAAGGACAACATACGGGTTGGTACTCTCCCTGATCAATCCCCTCGCAACGAGATCATGTTCCTATCATCGTAAATCTTAGTACTCTACAGGTCTCAATATGTAGGCAAACCGATTTGGCAACACTAATCCGTGTATGAGATCAATGGCATGCTTAATGTCTCTCAATGTTGGCAATCCCTCGAAAGGCTGCCACTGAACACGTCCTAAAAGTCACATAGTAGTGGCTATATGGGTGATGATATCTCAACTCCCCAGTTCCCTTTAACATGACCAAAGTCATTGCCACTGGAGCCTCTCATGCCAACTGCATGAAGGTGGATCTTGGAATTATCATCTCCTCTGGATGTCCACTTCTCTCGCGTGCTTAACAAGCAAACAAACTATGTGTCTTCCAACCTTTTTGGATGAATAAGTGTTCTTTATTGCGGTCGAACAGTTGGGGCCTCCCCAACTAAATATGGCAAGGTTTATAGGTACCACATCGCACCACACTTACTTTTGTAGCTAATCCCTGATTAAAATCTCAACCTCACATTGTTGATCCACGCGTATTTTGTTTCTCCTTTTCAACCAGATAAGAAAGTAGAATTGAGGATGCTTCTGCGTTGTCAACCCCAATTTCTTCACCATCATGGTGGATACTACATTCTCACAGCTCCCAGCATCAATAATCAAACTACACACATTTTCTTCATGGTACACTTGGTGCAGAAAATAATATGCCTTACCCACGATGGATCCACCTCCGACTCAATCTGAAGGACACTCCTTATGACTACCATTTCTCCCTTATCTCCTTGGAGTTAGAGTTCCTCTTCTAGATCTTCCTCCACTTCCACCTCATCCACTTCATCAAAGACGCCCAACTTTGTGAATGAAACAACTTGGATCATGGCACAATTGGAGGCAATGTGTCCGTATTTGTGGCATCTAAAATATCTCCTGACAACATTGTACTGACGAATTACCCTTCTCGGGTTTCTTTCCACCCAGACCAGCTTGTCACTTCCCTGTTTGGTTTTCCCAACTCCTCTCGGTGTGGCCTTGTTGATAGTTGCAATTATAGGTGGTTGTATAAATTTGGACGGTTATCTGCTTTGCCTCAGTTGCCTTTCCAACTTCAAGACCGAGGCATGGACATCTCCGAGTTAACTGGCTTCAAGCCCCCTAGATATCGAGTCATGAAATGTTCCTCTAGTTCAACCAACTCACATTTCATATACAGCAGGTCAAACTGTGTCGTGAACTCCCCACTGATAGGTTTCTCGATCAGTCTTTTGCAGGTGGTAGAGCCTCAAAAATATATTTTGACAATAATGGAGTGGTAAATATTTTTTCTGCATCTCTTTGTTCTTCTTCTCTCATCTAGTAATCTTATCACTTCCTTCTCACTTTCTTTGCCTTTGCAATTTTTCCACCACAAAAAAGTGTTTTTTTTTCAATTTGATAGTCGCAAGCTTCACCCTCTTGTCTTCTAGCACAACTTTCAAAAATTTTATCAAACAACTGCAATCATTCAAAGAAATCAACTGGATCTATACCTCCATCAAACTATGATAAATCCACCTTTATTCTAAAATCTCTTTGCCCTCCATATGTCATCTCTTCTCTCAGCCTCCTCTGATAATGAATTCCAAAGTGTCGTGATCTGCCTTCCTCACCACCGAAATCCTCCCTATGGAAGGGATTCAGATTGTTGTCCTTTCATTCCTTCACCTCTCCATATCGGAATCGAGGGTAATTTCCCCCAAAGTCCCATCATCAATCTCCGCAAGTTTTCTACTCTAGGTGACAGATCTCTCGTTGTACCTCTTCCCTGGTAGGCGAGGGCATGTATCTCTTCGATGACATGGTTTGGGCTTGGATATGTGAGTGTGGAAAGGATATTTGAGCATAGGAAAGAAAAATTTCGGGGTGGAGATGTGTAGGAAAGCTAGAAACTCTAGAATAAGACTACGATTATGTTAAATCTGATATCAAATGATACTAGAGTTAACCAGAAACCACAACGGAATGGAACTATTATTGATGACATTCAAATGGGATTGCAAACAAACACTTAAAAATCGGAAAACAATGACACAAACAAAAAAGACTCTCTTAGGCAAGGAGCAAGGATGGAGGGTTGCGGTTGAGGTTGTGGAAATAAATAATGATATGTGGTGGAGAGAGGCTTCACGACAGCAAGGGAAAGCAGGAAAGGTGTAGCAACAAGCAGCATGGAGGGTGCGGCAACAAGCAAGAAGAAGCATGAAAGGGAAAGAACAAGAGGAGAAAACCACCCCACTTCAAAGCAGCATATAGTTGAAGCACCACCTGTCTTCGGATGCAGCCCTAGCAAAGTAGAACAATGCCAACAACAAAAAATTGAAAACTAAATCTCTCCTAGAACACAGAAAATAACAAACAAATACTCATAGAGTAAAGAGGAGTGGGCCCCGCTCCAAATACGAGGGAACCGTGCGCTAGTAGTCCCGCTCGATCTTGATTATGCCTAGATCGAGTTGAACCCGGATGACAATTGTTGCGCCCGCGCTCGACCTAGGCGCTTGCATGTCACCCACACTATTATCTCAATATTAAAGCAAGAAAAAGAAAGAAAGACAAAGATGTGATCAGGTTCATCATTAACCCTACCCCAACTATATGGGAACAGGATCAGTTAAAACAAGGCATATCTTAGGGAGAATTAACAAAAAAGGCAACGAGAAAGTGGATTCTAAAATGATAAGAATCCACATGATAAAAAAAGGTAATCAGAGAAGTCAACTTACCCTATAAACTGATTCATAATTAAGAATCCACATGATAAAAAAAGGATAATCAGAGAAGTCAACTTACCCTATAAACGGATTCATAATATATGATTTTGTTCACAACCATCAATCATATTATGTTTGGATGAGGGGAAAATTCTACGAAATATGCATTACTATATTTTACTATCACAAGATAAATATTGTTAACTCTGCTAAGTATCATGATATATATATGACACCAAGCATTCATTACACTGATATATAACATGATGAGTTTCTTATTTTGCAAATATGCCACAGACTTCTAATATAAAATTCATACATTCTATGAACTGATTTAAGGCTCAAACAACATAAGAAACTATACCAAAATTTGACAATAGATTTTAGGAAGATTTATATACATAAGACTCAATTCTTTTATATTTACATATCTAACACCTAAACTTTAATTTTTTACATATATATATATGCCACCTTATCTATGCACGAAAAAGTGTATTTCAATTTTTAGAACTTAAAATTGTGATTTTTTATGTGATATTGAATGAATTTGGTGGTATAATTGTAAAAAGCAAAATTCAGGTGTCAATAATTATGAAGTGTGCGGTATGTGAATGCCACTAGTTTTTAAACATGCAACGGATGCATGGCCAATTTCACATGGCAATAATTACTTCCGCGTGATCAAGTAGACTAGTGGTTGTGGGTTGATACAACAGAAACATTGCCTAAGAGGCAGGTTAGAATGCCTCTAAAATCATTAGCCAATATCAGTGTTTCTTCATTGCTGCACTTCCTCCTCTGAAAGCAGAACTTTTAGCAAAATATAATCATAAAAATAGATAACTTTTAATTAAAAAATGGAGAAAGAAACATTTATCCTTGATTTCCTTTCCAACAAATCTTTTTTGCTTAGTTCTTTTTTTCTTTTTAGTTGGTTCTGATACATCACTTATCAAAGCAATAATCAGATCTGTTTCTAACATGAATGACTGCCATTTAGTAACTAAAATAGAAGGTTGACAGGAATGAAAATAACAAAAGTTCAATTCTATAAATGTATACATCATAGCAGCTCTAAATCAAGAGTTGAACGCAGTGTAGAACCTTAAACATGAGTGGAAAGGAAAAAAATTCACCAACATATAAAAGAATACAGGGAATTACTTGTAGAGAACACCAATGGTATTTCGAATATCCCAACATAGTATGTAAGGATCCTAACAGAATTCCAAAACAAAGTTAAAAAAATCTCAAACAATAATAATAATAATAATTAAGTCAGAAAAAGAAGCCTAAGAACTTACGGACCCTAGACATAGAACAACAATTCAAAGTTTTTACTGAGATCACATATCCTAACACCGAAAAAGTTTAATATTGTTTGCTAAGCACATTATAGGGGGATGAATTGACCATGCATTTTTTGTACTTCATATTTTCTTAATAAAATTCCACCAATCCTGTGCACGCAAGCAAATACACTGAGAAAGCCAAAGAAATAATTACATAACAAAAGAGAATAGCATATTAATTGAAACGCCAGGCTGAAGTTAAGAATATAACAGCTAAATTAATACACAAATTAGTCTACAAATTTAAACAAACTTACACGCAATGTATATACAATTACACAAATGAATGACTAAGTGATTAACCATTATCTATAAGATTGTATTCACTATTATTAGAAAGTACAAATTGGTAATCCTATACGATCCTATATATGTCACCCCACAAGATCATTATAATTTTGAATAAAAAGTAAACTAGCCAAGTAGGTAATTTACTATTAAGTACATTGTGAATGACAAACTCAATTTCACCAACAAAACTATTCGCAGAAATAGTAAAATTAAAACATACGGATAAAATGATGGTGACAAGTAAAAGTTCCGGCCAATGTAAGTGAATTTGTAGCACAATGATATAAGTTGAGTTCATTATGCAAGCCTGTCTGATTTATCTAAGCAACACCACTCGTTAAATAATGTGCCCAAAGATAAATATTATAATGAAAATTATAAGATGATATAAGATGTGAGAACTATTAAAAAATTAGTACAATACCAACATGTAGCAAGAACATATGAAGATCAACACAAAAACATTAGAAATTAAGCAAACACGAATACAAGGAATATAAATCTAGTTCCACAGAGCAACTGAGGCAAAGTGATAATTATGTGGTTTGACCTCCCAAATGACCTATGCCCAAAAAGCGCATACATGGACACAATGACACAAAAATGACCATGGCAACACAACATAACTATAAAAAGTATAACACTACAAATCATGGATATAATGTTATATTTTATAAATTATTAATATAAAATAAGTAAATTATAGTATTGTTTACTAATGGCATCACCGGATATAGTAAATTATCATATAGATGTACTTCACCAAAAAAAAAAACAATAAAAATAGTAGTGATAAAAAAATGCTTTATCACAAGTGAAAATTAGCATCTGTTAACAAAACTCAAATACTAGCATTCAATCATCATCATTTATCACATAATTTGCAATAGTATTGATATTTTTCAAGTCATCCCTCGTGTGTGCCTTCGTAGAATGTCGAGCAATGCTTAGATCGTATCAAACCATATCTATCTACTTTGGAGCAAATTTTGTCATAAAACGCTTACAACGCAATTTTGAGCATATCAGATGCATGTCAATGCATATCAAAGATGCGTCCTGTCCATCAAGGGTCTGAAACGGACATGATAGGTATTTGAAACATCCATGCTTCCTAGCCTATGTTCACACCTAATCCCCTAACCAAGCTAGGATTCCACCACATCCTTGCAACAACAAGTTCACTCCTTCGCTTACAAGCCGACGGAGAAACCATCAAAATCTCTTCTTCACAGAGAAAGCAATCCCTTGGCTATTGTTATAATCAAGAGCACCACCTCTAAACAAATGTTAGCAAATTCTCTACAAAACCTTCTTCCACTGTGATTAAACAATTTCATGATGACTAGAGCTGTCACAAACAATTACAACACAACCCATACAACACGTAATAACAGTGAAAATTAAAAATACAACAAAGCCTAAAAGATTGATGAGAGTAGATTTTACTCCCTCAAAAATTGAATGATGCTAATAAACACTTATTTTTTCTTGAAAAGCTCTTAAAAAGGCTTGAGATGCAAGCATTTACTTTTTGCCAATTGATAAGCCACTTTATTTTCTTACTCGATCAAACACTAAAACAAGCTTTAAAAATCATACAAAATATCTCTCCAAAGCTAGCTTCCATTGAAAAAAAAGGAAAAAAAAAACAACAGCAAAATTAAATAATAAATATAGCAATATGCATGGGAGGAAATAACTAATGTTTTCATCGCAATATATTCATTTAAATTTGAAGTATATCGTATAATATATGAAATTGTGGGTAAAAAACTAGATGAATTGAATAGAATAAGAATTAAACCTATTAATTATTGATTGCTCCATTAATTAATATTATAATACAATTGCATGAATTTCTGAATATATCGAATAAGCTCAAAAAGCAGATGCACAGCTGACTTAGAAAGCTGCCATAAAATAAAGAAAAAACTCAAATCCTAAACAAATTAAAATAATCAAAAGATATAAGTTGATTATTCTTAGTTAAAATATTCATGAAACTTAAGCTCACATAAACTTCATAGCAATAGTAGTAATAAAACCTAAGATGAATAAATTTTTAGCATATGATTATTAATTTTTATAATTTATGGAAACAAAGCATACATTGACGTGGGGCTAAGGCCAACCGACTGAACCAGCTGGCAGAAGGACCGATCGAACACAATTTGAGGAGGCGGGTCCCGATTCTTACGGGACCGAGCGGGAGCAGCACTTAGAAGGAGGTCGATCCCGATTCCTACAACGACCGAGTAGGAGTGGCACTTTAAAGGGACGGCAATGCCGACAGCCCCATCCTGCTTTCCTTTTTTGTCTTTTCTCCTTTGTTGTCTTGTTTCTCGCCTGATGGGAGCCTATTTATATGCTTGTTACCGGAATTAGGGTTATATTTTGTGTGAGTTATTTCAAAGTTCTGCATAAGTCTCTATTTTCCCATGCGAGGGTTGTATCCGAGGATGGGTGATGCTCAGATTGTATCATGCTCCAAAGTAGTTATCTAGCATCTCCTATTTCCCTTTGTATCACTTATCCTTCACCTCCCTTAGTCGTTGGTCATCCCATCTCCTCCCAGCTATCTTGCTGCCCCCTTTTACTGCAGCAGCCTTGCCGCCCAACCCTCCATCTACCTCCCAGCACTATGTCATCCCTTCGTCAGCAACAGTCATTGTTGTCCCGCCCTCCAGGCCATCCAACCAGCACCTTACCAACATTTCCCTGCAATCCAACTAGTAGTCCATCCTCTCCCAAACAATACCATCAGACTCCTATCCCTTTCCCCTCTCACCCAACCATCGGCTACCTTCACCCTCACATTCCCCCTACTAATACTCAACCATATCGTCGACACCACAACTGCCCTTAGCTCCTCTTTCGACCCTAATCGAGAACTGTTGTTGTGTTTTATTTTCGTTGAGTCGTGTTTGTAACCCTAACTCGCTTAATAAAGCTCGCTTTTGTTTTTATTATTTTGAACTAGTTCCGATATCATTTGGTATTAAAGCTAGCCTAAACCTAGTCATATCATAGAATTTTCTAGCATTTATCGTGGCCCAAAAAAATTTTCTTCCTCCCAAAAAATAATATTTCCACTTCCATGAATCCCAAAACCCTACCAATGCCCACCTAGAAAATATATGTACAAGCCTACCCGAAAAAAGATACGGTGAGAGCTCTGTCGTCTTCAACAGAGGTTGGCGGAGATTGATAAGATAACCCAAAGGAAGGTTACCCTCGACTGAGATCTGGAGAGTTGGATGGGAGAAAGAGAGAGGGATCTAAATCCCTTCCATAGGAAGAACTTCAGCGATGAAAAAGACAGATCGCAATGTTTTAGAATCCAGTATTAAAGGAGGTCCAAAGAGGGATATCTGAATCCCTTACATAGAGAGAATTTCAGAGAGAAAATATCATTTGGAAGGCACAAAGACTTCGGCATCAAAGTAGATCTGCCAGAGTTTGATGAAAGTATGAATCCAGAAGAGTTTATTGATTAGCTGAAACATGTTAAACGGGCAAGAAAAGTCTTTTTGTGGTAGGAGAGCTTACAGAGACAGAAAAAGGGAAGACGATGATAAGATTATCAGGTGGGAGAAGATGAAGCGATGCAGAGAAAATAACTCCCACCCCATGGTCGTCAGGATATATTTCTGAGGCTTCATCACCTGTGGCAGAGAGATCTATCAGTAGAAGAGTTCACAAAGTATTGAATCAATTGTAGATAAGATGTGACTTGGTCGAGTCAGGGGAGTATATCATAGCCCATTATCTGAGGGCCTAAAGCCCATTATTAGCAATGTGGTGCAGCCGCAACCTTATTCATCACTTGGAAATCTCAATACCTTGGCATTGAAAATGGGTAGACAGTAGAAGCAAAGCAAGCAATCACCACTAGCCAAGCAGCCACCCACAGTTAGAGACGCAAGCAAGAGCACACCTCACTTAATTGAGAAAGCTTGTTCGGATAAGAATCAAGCCACCCCCTGTGAAAAGAGATCTGAGAAAAATAGCACGCCTACTACAATCTTCGCCAGAAAATATTTTAAATGTCACGGATTTGAGCACATTGCCTCCAATTGCCCGAGGAGTCGAGATGTGTCTTTTACCGAGCAGGGCGTCATGGAGAAGATTAGCGATGAGGAGAAAGCTGAGGAACTGAGTAAGGTGTATCATTTGCCACCATATCAAAAAGTACTTGTGGTTCAACGGATCCTATAGGTTGAGGATAAGAGGAATCCGTAGTGGCTTCGCCACAATATATCCTATACTCGTTGCATGGTAAATGAAAATGTATGCGGTGTCATCATCGATAGGGGAGCAGTAAGAAGGTGGCATTTACGCAGATGGTAAAGAAGTTGGGCCTTATGACTCAGAGGAACGCCCAGTCATATTATTTGACGCAGATGGTAAAGAATTCTAGATATTGCAATAAGATTAATTGAGGACAATTTTGATTATGCATCTAATTTATGTTGATTAAATAATTAAGTCTAAGATAATGTTAACTTTAAGAAATAGTTTAGAATATTGGATTGGAACGATTGACCGAGGAAAGAGTAATTAAAAAATTTAATAGAAGAAAAAAAAATTAAAATTAAGTGGCAGCAAGAATCATAAAAAGAAGTTTAAATCTATGAACTAATATCACATTTAATGAATAAAATAATAAGATAATATGCTTATGTTTTATTAATGAAAATGCATTATTATTAAGACAATTAATTATAAACTATATATAAATTCATTTGTCTATTAAGAAAATTTGGGTTTGATCTATATGATTGATTTTTTGAGGAGACGGACATAAAGTTTAAAGGGATATTTGAAACACTAAGCTGAGTAATTATATTTCTAAACTTCATTAATTTTCATTTTTTCTAAATGTATGCTTGATTTCATTTATGCTATGTTCCAATGAGATTTAGATTACAACAGATACTTCATAATGTTAGATACAAAAAATATGGATGTTAAACAGTTGCATTATAGTTTTCTTAAGAAGAAATTTTATAACTACATGATATGTAGATTTCAATATAGGTACACATATCAGTTTATTGCAAGACCTATATATTTAATAAGATTGTATTTATTCATCGGTAGATAAAGCTAAAATGTTGTATAAGAAAATAATGTATGATATGAATAATGAAGTAGTGTATATATAAATGATTGTAAGTGCATACTAAGAGGAGTTCACCCCCTTTGGTAGACGCAAAAAACACTGATATACCCGCATGTGTAAATGTTATCCTACCACCCGAGAAAATTAAGATGTTTAAATCGCTAATTGTTATGTCAATGGGAGAATATCGATCAGTGGAAAGTATGCACATTTTCACCTCAGACAATCGTGTAAATTAGAACACAAATTGCTATGTCAACAAAATAAAATTTGTTAGTGATATATTAGGTTATATTTTGACGGTGCTCCTAAAATAGCTATGCATTTAAAAACATGAAATGAAAGTAAAGTTAAAAATTAAACATTGAATTATAAATTTAAAATTAATGCATGTCGAGGTTTAAATTATTTTCATTGAATAAATGTCATTGACATATATATTAGATTATTATAAGATTTTCTATAATGAAATATGAAAGACCATCATGCATATTATTTTATTTTTCTAATGTTACTGTAATTTAGAAGTGTGATTGTTCCTATGTTATCTTTAAATAACTTATTATGTTGTTTAATATTTTTTTAGGTTTAAGCTTTTAAATAAAATGAATAGAAGATTAACAAATGTATACAGAAAGCAAGTTTAGCAACGACAAAGGTAAAATTCTTATTATTTAAATTATTTTCTTTGATGTTTGTTTCAATGAATATTTGAATATTAAATTGTTAATGATAGAGATAAGGTAATCAAAAATTTAATTCCACCGTCTAAACGTTTGTTTCCACGTTGATTAATTCCAAGCCCCGATCCAGGTCGTGATAATATTGGAGAAAAAAAAATTTGCTCTACCTAATGGCATCAACGTAGCGCCATTTTCCTCTTGATTGATATGCATCCTCAAGATGCACTTCTCTCATGTGTTCTCAATGGAAAACATTATATAAGTTATATCCTTTCATATTGCCATCAAAGATGGTGATGAATTTGCCTTGTCTAATGGAATCGACGCAAAATTGTCCACCACAAAAACTCTTTTTCTTTCATTCTAATATTTCGTCTATCTTTTGGTGAAGAGATCAAGGCGAAATACCTAGCATTTTCTTTAATATACAATTTGATTGACAATAATCACAAAACTTCTCAAAAACATTGATTCTAAAGAAAGAATAGTCATCAAAGGTCCTTTTTTTCCATGTTTTACTTTGGACAAAGAAAACCCCATTTCACATAGTTCTTAGGTCTTTCAGCTTTATCTTGGCAATTTCATCCTATGACCGGTATCACAATATTGGCATGGTTGATGTCTACAATAAGATAGATGAGAGTTCAGTAGAATTTGGGGGAAAAGCCCAAGGTCAAACCTCATGAAAGTTTGTGCATCTTCAAGGATAAATCTAGTTCTCTCCTGAATTCTATGGTGTAATCGTACACAGATTGTACTTAACTATGCCCCAACATGTATATTAATTTCCACCAATCATCGGCACAATCAACAAGTATAACTCGCAATGTATCAGACGATTAAACTGCACCTGATTATTTCCTGAGGGCCATTATCTTTCTAATGTAAGTTTCAATAAGCCAAAGCAGTGACTTACTTGAAACCAAGCAAACACCATTTGATCAACTCAAGCATCGAGTTTCTCCTGATCGATCATCCCACCAATGCAGTTTTCATTATGTTTTCCACTTTAAAAGGCTGAATCCATCATTCATTCAGCATGGTGATATCCTCATCGTCATTCTACCCATTGTCTTCCATATTGCCAACATTTTCCTGATGCGCATTTGTCAGTGGAGCATGAAAGCACTAGGATTTGATGTGATAGTAGTGAATTACATTTACATCTACTCCAACACCATCAATATTTATTCTATAAATCTAGACACTTGATTGGCTGTAGATCAGGAGAAGATTTGTTCTCAAATATTGTTTCCTTATTTCGTAAATGTATTGTCTTTCAATGTGAATCTAGAACAATAAGATATTCTCCTGATATACACACTTCCTATTTAAACCATGTATCAAGAACAAATGCTTTTATAACACTTTGATCCAATCTTATCCTCTTAATGCTATGTACTAAGCCCACAATTGAGATTATAGGATGGATCATAAATGGTTTAGGCTTTTTCTTCAAAACCCTGGTAGTTATGGGATCAAGTTATATAAAACTTGAAATCTTCAACTCTTTGTTGAATGAGGTTTCTTCTCAGTTTATGCTATCTTTCTAGTAGTAAACAGCAACTGCTCTCCGTTTCATTGTAGACAGCTAATCTTTCTAGTAGTAAACAGCAACTGCTCTCCGTTTTATTGTAGACCAGAATGCCTCTTTATGCAGGACAGCATCCGCCTTAGTATTTTCCTTTTTTGGTTTCATGTCTGCCACTGCAAATTATTTTTCGCTACACCGGACAGCATGCTGAAAACAGCAAAGCTGATTACTGCTGCGTGACTGGGTTGCTGTAAATTGGCAAAACAGACTACTGTTTCACCTCAACATCAGCACTCAGCAGCAGGTGGCGAAGACTGGCCAGCAGCTGAAAAATGGCTGGAGGCAGCGAAACAAGCAAACAAGTTTTGAAAGCCGGGCAGGGCCTGCGACAGAGTGGAATACGAGAGCAGAAAAGGAAAAAACACAGGATTAAATTTTATTGCAGCAATCAGGCCTTTAAATAAGAAAAAAACAGCAAGATATAATTTAAAATTGACCTTTTATCATCCTCTAAACTAACTGCTCAATTTATGAGGAATATTTTCACCCCTAAACAAACTACATTAAATAAGAAACAACCTTATCATTCTTAAGGGAACTCCACAAAAGAAGAAATATTATCAACAATAAAAATTCAAAAAATAAATTTATCTAAAATAAATTTAAAATCAATAATGCATCCTTATCCGGTTGCTTTAGTGACATCCAACAGTCTAGATTTTTTGTCTCCTTACCTTGATCATCAAACCTCTGATAAGCAATCCATCTTCTCCAGTGCACTCTTCATGAGTTGATCCTCTATCAAGATTCAGGACAGCGTGACATGAATATCAACAACCTTATTAATCTTCATCAAGAAATTGGACTCTCAATTAACTAACTCATTATCTCTATCCCTTCATGATCTAATGCCAAAATTGTGAAAATTTTCCAATAAACTCTTGGAAGTGAACAGTCAGATTCAACATCGCCTCGTGATCATAACCAAATTAAGCGCTCATTCTTGTGCCCTACCATGGCCGTGAGTCAACTTAGAGCTATTGGCTTCTTTATAACTTCGTTCTTCCAGTCAGATAACATTAAGCATGCATCACCGATAAACATGTAGGCTTTTGAAGAGATTTTGGATGCAAAATTAGGCTCCCTCGTCTCTGAGCCTTGTAGAAATGCCTTTTAAAACTCAATACAGTGTTGCTAAGGCTTCAAGCCAGCATCCGCAAGCTAAAATCATTTCAAACCAAAGGTGGTAGAATAGAATACAAAAGATATTGCATAAGGTGAGTAATATAAAATGTAAAGTCAAGCAACTCCCTCGATCAAGCGTGTTATTCCAGCTATAACAAGTAAATAACTATTAAAGTTTGTGTTCACAAGAAGTTTTGAACACGACAATGAAACATTGTGCATATAAGATGTAGAATTTCCTTATATGTGTATTAAAATGCCTTTCTTAGCTCGCAAATTTCTTGAGACAGTTAAGGAAAATATCTCTTCAGCTCTAATATATGATGTTTAAATTTGGATTATTAAATAGGTCATCATATGCCTCGTATAGGGTTTAGGTTGCTTACAAATAAGCCCCTACCATACTCATGCCTCCTATCATGCACAATGTTAAGTCAAGTACCTACAAATACGCCCCAGTTCTTTCTTTAAATATAATAGTTACCCAGTCAACAATGACTCGCCATTGAAGACACCGGCAATGATTAAAATTTAAGCTTTATAGAGTGAAAATCAGAATCGTCCAGAAGAAAGGAAACTAGCAACAAATAAACATGATCAAGTATATCAAAATAATATCCATTGAAATGGGGACATGTTGTCCAACATAAATGCAAAATATGTTGTTATAAAAGCGGCCACAAATCAATACAAAAGTCAAGTTTGGGAAGAAAATTCCTTAATTTCATTAAATTTTGATTTCGTTTGTTTACGAGTGCTTAAATATCAATGGAAGAGAAAAATAAAAACCCATTGCGTATAAAGGAGTTTAGTTCTTGATTACCTTCCGTCCTCCAGTATATATATAGTTCCCGTCTTTGGAAAACTGGACCTACAAGCGAACAAAGTGATCAACTACGATAAGAAAGTTGTCTAGTTCAAATTCAACGAAAAATCAGGGGCATTTCATTGAACTAACCTGTGTGACTCCACCCATTTGTCCATGCAAAACATATAAAAGTTCCATGTTGGACTCAACATATACTGCAGTAGTCTGGCAATAAGAGCCGGCTGCGAGCATCCCATTATTGATGGGAGAAAATGCAATTGATGATACAATACCTACGTGCACAAAACAATGGTGACAGATTAAGATTAATTATCCATCCATTAGTGGAATAAATGGTCTTAAAGTATTTAAATTATTTGTTACGTGAAATTTATCCTTTCAGTCAACAACAAACTAGTCAAACCTTGCATGTTTTCATAATTTTGTTGAAGGATGATGAGAAAATATATACAGACGATGAAACACACGTAGTGGCGGAACCAGTGGGTGGCCGGGGGAGGCACTTGCCACCCCTACATTTTTACTAAACTCTTTAATATCATATAACACACTGAAAATTTTACCCTTTAAAATTAAATACTAAATAAGAATTAAACATTAACTTTATTTCAAATTCAATAATAATATTTATAATAGTTTTAAATTTTGTTCAAGGAGATGAAAATTTTAAACTTAAATCTCGCCAACCCTTAATTCTTGATTTCACTGCCCCTCTCCTTTATGTATGGTTCCGCCAATCCATGCAAGTAAGTGGAGCATATTTAAAAGAGCAGCCACAGTGCATTTCAAAGATAAAACGTCATGTTCTATGGTTGAATCACAAATTTCAACACATGGATGATTACGAAACAAATATGTTGGCCTTTGTTTCAGCTACCAGGAATGGGGAACTCAAATAGGGTTCATATTGATGCATATATAGGCATATATGAAATGTTTAAACCAAAAAACAAAAAAAACATAGCATGCAAGTGAATAGTCAGGTACCCAGTGGTCCGGCATCTCCTTTAGCCAAAGAATATTGCTCAAAATCCCGACCAGGCCGATGTACATCGAACACTCTGATGTGTTTATCATATCCTGCAAAAATTCTACAAAAAAAGGTTTTTTCAATAGAACAGCAAGAAAAATATTCATTGTGTGTTTATCATATCCTGCAAAAATTCTACAAAAAAAATCCTTTCTTTGGTGCATGCCAAAAAATGCATGCATCAAAGAAAGGCAGTGCTTCAAACCAGCAGCCTTCCAAGCTAGCTGCCAGGTAATACTCTTTGGAAGCATCCAAAGCAACCGATGAACAATTGGGTTGGGCAACCAATTCAATGACATGCTTGCAGAAAGAGTCACAATCCATGTGTTGCAAGCATGGCAAAAATAATAAAATCATGACCATATATGGAATTCTCAACTTCAAAGATTAAAGGTCTAAGAAAAGGAAATCTTTCATACTTAGCTCCCGATGTGTTGAAAGAAACTGAAAGTGCTGCAGTTATTTCATCCATGGCATCATATGCTCGATAAGTGCCTCGAAGCTAAAGAAACCAGCAAAAACACAATCAGCACCGAAGCATTCAAAAACAATGCTTCATGATAAAGTCTCAAAATTGAATGGTTGTTAGCTACCTCACCAGAAATGGCATCCCAGAGATGAATAGGATGGTCTCTTGTTGTGCTAACAAAAACACAGGTGGTAGGATCTAAACATGAGCAGAAAGGTCCGATATCAGCCAGGACTAACATAACTTGCATCAGAACAGCGGTAATGGTAATGGAATAATGTTGACATACCCAACATAGACGTGTAAGGGTACCAACAGTAATCATACACCATCTCTGCCTCATTCACTGCGAGAGCTGAAGAATACGAATCTGACATGGTAAATGCCCATTAGAATGAATAACTTCACGAGCCTTGGCTTAGATCAAAATTTATGCAATAAATCCACCACAAAAAAGAAATCACGAATCCAGATTCTCAACAAACCTTGAGAAATTTGACATTCTTCCAGCTTTCCAGGATTGAAGTAGGCGTCTTCGGGCCTGGCATGTCGAGCGACAATAATGAACACAGCCAAGAATGTCAGATTTCTAAATAAATATAATAATGACGAGGTACGGGAGAGCTCACAAGTAGAACAAGCGGAGGGACCGATCGTCTGAACTGGTGAGAAAAGACGAGCCATCAGGGGACCATTTGACGCTTTTGAGGAAGTTTTGAGGATTAGAACCGCTCCGGAACTGTTGGGCGAAGTGGTATGTCCTCCGCGGAGGGATGTCAAATCTAAACACCGGCCACGGATGCGCATCGGACAAGCTCTCTGTTGATGCCCCGTTTAAGGAATTCGATTTCTCCCGCTCTTCTTCTTCTTCTCCTTCTTCAACTATTGTGTCTGGTTCTTCTTCCAGAGTATCGCGTTGCTCCTTTTCTTCCATTAGCCGTGATTCGCTTGGAGAAGAGAAAGTAGCCATGATTCGCTTGGGGTTTTTGGTGGGAGATTTGCTGTTTTGCTTTCGTGAATTTATATATTTGTATGCATTTATATATGAACTTTATTTTTTTTTTTACTTCTTTAAGTAATGTTTAGATATTTTTATATATCTGTATATCTATTTGAATTTCATACAGGTTGATATTAAAGAATATTTTCAGAATTTATAGATTTGAAATATGAGTAGATAATATAAAAATCTTTAGTATGGATGCATCGACGATTCGACGAACACCGCCTCATCACAGTCGTTGGATCCACTGCATTATCACAATCGTTAGATCTGACCCTCCACGGATTGTTGATGTGGCGGATCATGATCCTTTGAAGCACGGCGTGCAGGCCCCGTCGCCTCGAGCATGTGGCTTGCTTACTCGAAAAGGTTTGATCTCCAGTTCGTTGCATGACTTGCCAACTCGACCTGAAGGGCCACCATGCATGCGAGCCAACCCGACCCACGCCCAATTGGTTGACTTAAGCAGCAAAAATGTGCATTATATATACAGAGCTCGAAATTCAAACTTTAAACCGTAGAGAAGAGAGGAAGAGTGTAGAGCTAACTGAGCTGCACATTTGCTTTATGTATGTGTATGTGTTGTGTCTTGTATGTTTTATATTAATATCAAATTTGTATTTATGTAGTGTGTGTGCGCGCAATTACAAAAATTCAAGCTTGTAGGATTTTGATATTTTCGGGCAACGAGGTTGGTCCCGCCAAAAAAATAATGGGGCAAGTGATACTTCACTAACAAAAGTCCTTCATCTTACATGAATCTCGGAGCAAGTGGCATTGATCTCTATGCAATGTTTAAACATACAAATTTTGATTAAAAAGCATTTAAAACTATAATTTTTGCAATATTAGACGGATCTAATGATATAAAAATTAGTTCAACATAAGTAAAATTATGCATGGATCAACCCAATAAATCACTTTTGAGAGTTTTTAATGCATAATTGAAGGATCAAAATATTTTTTTGAAACTGACGTGCTTATAGTTGAATCAAGTTTCAAGGTGAGACGAACCAACTAGCCAAAGTGTTCAATTTTGATTTCATTAAGACCCTCAAATGTCCATCAAACACTGTTTGATTAAGGGGATATCTCTGAACTACTAGTAATTTAGATTACTTTCTTATTTGTAATTGAGACTATAAATAGAAACCCACCCCTCAGTAAGGGGATTATACCTTAAGCAAGAGGAAGGTCAAGGTCTACGGAAGAGGGATCTGAAGTTCAGGACCATTTATCAACGATTCGACGAACACCTGCTACTCATGTAGTTGTTAACCACCGTCGACCACTGCTCCGTTAATCACCATTGTTAACTCCGACTAATGTCGTCAGCCATCTCCGCCTTTGACAACTCTGACCACCGCTGCCTCCATCTAGCTCCAATTGGTGCCTCTAACCAACTCTGGTTACCACTTCTCGCTAATTTCATCAAACGCCACTCGCCAACTCTATTCTTTAACAAACTCTAGTCGCCATAGCTATTAGCTAACTCCAACCACTACCTGTCGACCACTGTCAACCGTCATCGACCGTCACTTGCTCTTTACAGCTTCTATATTCGGCGCCCATGTCCTGCGAACTTCAACACAGCCCACCACTACAACCCAACGCTGTCCATAACTCATGCAGCTCAAGACTTTGACCCATGCAACCTACTGAAGTCGTCACCGCTCAAAACTATAACCCACATGACCAACTATGTCATGTGTGGTTCATATCTCATGCAACTCTAAACTCTGACCCTTGTGCCCTACTGAAGTCATCATTACTCACCATTACGACCCATGTAACTAACCACGACCTATGCGGTCCACAACTCATGTAGCTCCCAACTTCATCCCCCTGCAACGGAGCGTCATCATAGCTCGCTGCTTCACCCTACCTAACCAACAACGACCTGGAAGACTTACTACTTGTGCAACATTTGACTTCATCCCCCACAACCTACAAATATCATTGCAGCTCACCACTACAGCTTGCCTTACCCAACTACAACCAATGTTTTTCGCACCTCATGTAACTCCCAACTTCGGCCCTCACGGTCTACGAACGTCATCAATACTAACTGTCATAACCTAGGTGACCAACTTTGACCTATGCGGTCCACAGCTTATGCAACTCCCGACTCTGCTGCCCACAGTCTACGAACGTTAATTCCTTTCACCATTATGACCTACGCAATCCACATCTCGTGCAACTCTCACGAACGTTATCATAACTCACCACTTCGGCCTACGCGACCAACTATGACATACATGACTTCCTTCTCGTGCATCTCTTGACTCCAACTCATGTTGCCTGCGAACGTCATCACAATTCACCGCCACAGCCTAGGTGGCTTAATACTCTTGCAACTCCCGACTCTAACTTCCACAGCCTATGGATGTCATCATAACTCACTGTCATGACCTACATGAATAACTACAACCTTGTTGACCTCATTTTTAACGAGATATTTTTTTCCTAGATCCTAAGATCTAGCCTTAGAATTTCTTACCGACCATCCTAGAGACTATTATTGGAACCCACACCTACTTAGAAGCTCAAACTGCTTCTTGAATCATTGTAGACTCACATGTGTGGTTTCAAATCCTCAACTTTTGGTTGAGTCGATTGTAACCAACATATTGAAACTCAAGTCGAGTTCCTATAACGATTAGAGATTCCTTAAGAATACCACTTATACTTACGAATTTAAAGCACTATACACACACATTACAAATTGCATACACTAGAACTATCACACATACATACACCTCATACACACACACATTATAATTCACATTACGCACAAATTATAATTCACTTAATTTAGTATTCAAAAAAATCAAATTATACTTATCTTTAATTAAAACTCAAATCCTCGGATAAATATAAGTAAAAAAAATAAAAAGTAATATAATAATAATAAGTTAAGTCATACAAAAACATATATGTATAAATTAATAATCATAATAATGATAATAATAGTTACAACAAAAAATTAATAAATATAATAACCCAAAAAATCATAAAAAGATAATATCAACAATAATAATAAATAAATAATAATATAATAACTGTTGTGAGATATGTATTTCCTGACATAGAAATGAGACAAAAAAGAACACAAGCAAACACAGATCGTTTACGTGGTTCGATCTAACTGGATCTACGTCAACGGGAGGGAATCAATCAAATATTTCACTAAGGCAAAAGAAATGGAGAATACATAGCTTATACATAGAGATGAGCCCTCATCTTTTTTCTATGGCCTCCCTCTCAAGCGACACCTTGATACAAGACCTCAAGATTCTCTCCTCCTCTAACTCTATAGTTATTCTCTCCTCCTTTGTGGTAGCTTAAGATCTCTTCTCCCTTGCTCTCCTAAGCCTCACACCCTCTCTATTTATAGAAGCAAGAGAGTGGTGGGTGGGAGGTAGGTGGGAGGTAGGTGGCCAGTAGGTGAGCGGTAGGTAGAGATGTGGTAGGTGGCGGTGCTACATTACAAAATTGCCCTTTTACCTTAGTTCATTAATTGGGGGTCAAAATAACAATTCTCCACCTCGACCCTCAATTGAGAAGCTTCGAAGTAAAGATTCCCTCCACCTGGCCCCTGAGAGGGCCTCAGCCCTTGGTGAAGTTTACTAAGTCCAGACAGTGTCTGAACTTATTTGTCGGTAGCACCTTGGTGAGCATATCAGCAGGATTTTCTTCAGTAGGTATATTTTCCACTACTATTGAACCCTTGACAACGACATCCCTCACAAAATGAAGTTTTATATCTATATGCTTGGATCTTTCACGAAATACCTGATTTCTGGTTAGGTGAATGGTGCTTTGGTTGTCGCAAAACACAGTTATCACCTTCTGATGTATCCCAAGCTCTTCAGTCATGCCCTTTAGCCACATAGCTTCCTTGATTGCTTCAGTCACAGCGATGTATTCGGCCTCTGTTGT